AAATCCGGAAAAGTTTAAAAATTTTAAGAAGTTTTAGCGCTTGCGTGATTTAACTGATTTTTTTTTATTTAATAATGCATTCTGGATATTTTTTGTACGAAAAAATTATTGGCGCGAAAAAGACGTTCAAAAGGCGTTTAAAATTTTAATGGGACGGACGGACGCGATTTGAACGTCCTAAGGACGTCGTTTTTACGTCCTATGCCCACTGGGGAAAGATAGAAATCGTTGATATCGAAGATGAGGAATTTATAAAGGTGTTTATCTTTTATATTTTTAAACCAATTGATAACATCTTGAGCCTTTTTCCACTGATTAAGATGTAAATTATTTTTTAATCTGGTACAACCCACCCTACAGCATAAATGTCACCACAAATATAGGAAAAAGCTTTTTAAACTTGATTGTCAAACACTTTCCAATTAACAACAGACTACACAAAATTTTCAACAAAAATACCGTAAAAATCAGCTACAGTTGCATGCCAAACATAAAATCAATAATAAATTTACACAACAAGCACATCCTAAACAAAAATCTAACCATTAATAAAGACAACTGCAACTGCCTTAATAAAAACAATTGTCCTTTGCACAATAAATGCTTGACCAACAACATTGTATACCAAGCAACCATCACTTCGGATAACCCTTCAATAAAAAAATCATACATTGGTATTTGTGAAACATCTTTCAAACTGAGATATGCTAACCATTTGAAATCGTTTAATATCCCCAAGTATAGAAACGATACAGAGCTGTCAAAGGAGGTTTGGAACTTAAAAGATAATGATAAAAATCCTGTGATCAATTGGAAAATAATTAGAAGATGTGAAGCATATAACCTGACAACAAAGTCGTGCAAATTATGCCTTAATGAAAAATATGAAATTATTTCAAACAATGACAATAGTTTATTAAATAAAAAGACTGAAATTACATCAAAATGTCAGCATAGAAATAAATTCCTTTTTTGTCAATTCGACACAGACTTCGTGTAGTCAATGATTTGACGTCAGATCCCATTGCATTGCTTAATTTGTATTTTAAACGGTATTTTAATTTCTTGATTTAGAAAAATATATATGGCTGATGATTGCCGCCATGCATGAAACTCTGAGTACCAACAAAAGATTTTATTTTCTTTATTTTAATACTAAATAATTATATTAGATCTATTATAAAAATCTTTGTTTTTATAATATTGATCACTTTTAAAATATACAATATATATATATATATTTATATATATATATATATATATATATATATATATATATATATATATATATATATATATATATATATATATATATATATATATATATATATATATATATCAGTCAGGATGCATACTCGAAACATCATAACTTGCTTTGTGATAAACTCGCCAAAGAGCTAAGATTCAATGGTGGGCGAAGCAGACGGGTGTGGCGCGAGAGGATGTGGCTCTCTAGGAATGGCAGATGTTATAAGCCCGATATTGTTGTAAAAGATGATGGTGTGATTACTGTCATCGATATGGCATGTCCGTACGAGAAATCAGAAATACACCTAAGTCAATGCGAAGATGCAAAAGTTGCTAAGTACGAGCCACTCAGGCTTGATAGGAGTTGGACTCAAAAACTTAAGTGCTAATGAAATATCAGTTATAGGTATTGCAGTAGGGGCGATTGGAACAATTACACGTAAAACCCAGCGGATACTTGGCAAGTTGAAACTGGCCAAGGTCGGAAGACCGTTACAAATAATTGCATGTAATGAAAGCGCCTAAATTATAAGACGACATCTTTCGGGATCGAGACTCAGAAGTTTGCGATAAATGCCGGAGGTAGCTGGGATAATTATGCACAAGCTCGTAAGGCGACTTGCTGCACGTATGATGGTTAAGCAATTACCTCGATGAGTGCATGTCAAGACGGTCGGGAGTATGATCAGTGGAGCTGACTTTCCAGACGACTTACGTGGATTAGCGTGCGGTGGATACAACACCTGGTATAATATATGAAGGCTTCCATCTAGTACAGAAATAAAGATCCATGGGAGCAAACTAATTAGTTGTAGGTAATCTAACGCCGCTGTTGAGTCAGTTTTTAACAGCCAGTCAACTCTTGTAGGTTATTGGTCTTTGGCAGACCTTGGACCGCCTAGCGCCGGCCAACAATTTGTCGTCGACTAACATGATGATTTGCGAGAGAAACCCACGCTTTGTCACTTATGTGAGAACAAAATCTTTTGTCCATATGATCCTTTGAAGGGGACAGCGCTTAGAGCTTGCTCAGCGTTGGCACCTTTAGAAACCTAAAGGAAATGACGGAAGGGCACCACCAGGAGTGGAGCCTGCGGCTTAATTTGACTCAACACGGCAAAACTCACCAGGTCCATACAAAGTAAGGATTGACAGGTTGATAGCCCTTTCTTGATTCTATGGGTGGTGGTGCATGGCCATTCTTAGTTGGTGGAGTGATTTGTCTGGTTAATTCCGTTAACAAACGAGACCTTTACGAAAACAAACGAGACCGGTTAAATAGTCACACGGTTCCCGAACCGTGACTGACTTCTTAAAGAAACTGTTAGTGTTTAACCAAAGTCAGAAAGGCAATAACAGGTCTGTGATGCCCTTAGATGTCTGGGCCGCACGCGCGCTACACTGTCGAATGCAGCGAGTCTTATCCTTAACAGAAAAGTTCGGGTAATCTTATGAAAGTTCGACGTGATGGGGATTGATTATTGCAATTATTGATAATGAACGAGGAATTCCTAGTACACGCGAGTCATAAGCTCGCGATGATTACGTCTCTGCTCTTTGTACACAGCGCCCGTCGCTACTACCGATTAAATGGTTTAGTGAGATTACCGGATCGGTTTCAGCGCAACTTCATGATTGTTGCTGAAGGCCGCTTGTCTGTGGGACATCGCTTGTATGCATGCACAGCGCTGCCCCTTTTGTTGCTGTATTTCGTTCGGCGTGCGACCTGTTGGGTTGTTGTCACTTAACAAACGATTGTTGGTTTATTTGTTGGATCAATTTTTTTTTCTCTGAACAAGAGAAAGAAAAGACGGTTACAAAACAAAAATAAAATGAATGTCAGTGACAACTTTTAACGGTGGATCTCTAGGCTCGTGCATCAATGAAGAACGAAGGCAGTTGCGATAAGTAGTGCGAATTGCAGAATTCAGTGAATCATCGAATCTTCAAACGCAAATTGCGCTCACTGGAGTTCCCAGTGAGCATGCCTGTCTGAGCATCGTGTTAAAAGTCTAACACGCTTAGGCGTGGAAAGCTGATGGAGGCCACGTGCCAAACGGTGCGTGCCTTCTCGTGTGTCTCAACCCGAAAAAAGTTGCGGTGTTAAAAACGACAGGGCGCCTTCGTTCGCTGTTTTATTGTACTTCTCTTTCACGGAAGGCCCAACTTGCTTTTGTCTTTTCGTTGCCATAGGAGTGCAACAAGAAACGGAAACGTCGGTGGAAATCGCCTTAACAAGCTTTTAGCTAGATGGGTTTTGTTGTGGCTTTGCAAAGTGCTTGTTTTTTCCCCTCTCCACAGTAGTATTGTAGAAAAAAGGGAAAAGCAAGGCTTGCAGTTTTTCTATCTTTGACCTCAAATCAGACAAGACTACCCGCTGAATTTAAGCATATTAATAAGCTGAGGAAAAAAACTAACATAGTAACGGCGAGTGAAGCGGGATGAGCTCAAACTTAAAATCTCTTTTTCTTTAGGGACAGCGAAATGCAGTCTCGAGAAGCGCTGTAAAAGCGGACTATCAACGTTCAAGTTGCTTGGAACGACACATCGCAGAGGGTGACGATCCCGTGTGTGACGTTGAGAACCGAGAAGCGCTTTCTATGAGTCGGGTTGTTTAGGAATGCAGCCCAAAATAGATTATGATTATTATATTATTTTTAAGTATGGTTGCCTAACTTTTTTATGATTTTTTTTGCTGAAAATTTTCTATGAAAATTTAGTCGATGTTCTCACATTAATTTCGTATGTAAGAAATATTGAGCCCGCTTTTTTTATTATTTATTCTACTTTCTACATGTATTTTCTTTTTACCTGCCAAATTTTAGCCAAAAAAAAATAGGGAGCAGATATTTAACTAAGTGCAGCACTTTTGGTACCTAATTTCTGTTTTTATGATTTTTTTTCGGTAACAGCGAACACTATACAAATACGGGGGCGGAGAGGGGGGCCAGTTCTTAGAAAAAAAAAAAAATTTCTGCATTATTTTTATTTTTATTATTATGTAACAGTATAGAATGAAAAAAAATGAGTTGCACAAGTACATAGATTCCTTAACAGATAGTAAGCATATTTTTTTTTCTCATAATTATATTATTGATAACTATTTTTAAAACAATAACAAATGTTAAAAACCTTACTCTTGTTGTTTATCTTGGTAAGATAATCTTAAGTATAAAAAGATTAATGTATTACATTAAAACTGTTTTGATTTTATTAATAGATAAAAGTATTATTTCAAAGATTCATTAAAACACCATATAAGTATACAAGTTTGTTAATACACAAATAAGTATTAAAAATACTTATTTGTGTATTAATAAATACTTTGTTAAGAATACATTATTTTATGATTTGTATAATTTGCTACTTTTTTTTTAATTTCAATAGAAGTCTACAAATCAAATTTATATTGATTTATTCTTTACAAACATATTTTTTAGTGTTTAGTTTTAAAATGATATAAAAATTACACTTATCATCTTTTATCATTTTCCTGATAATATATAAGATATAATTGTTATTGTCTAATACCTTTTTTTTTTTGATGTATACTAGTTTATATATGTTTATTGTTTACATAAGTATATACCCATTCTTAATTTTAGCTTTTTGTTTATACAAAAATTTTATTTTTTGAACTTTTGACAATAACAAACTGCTATTTTTTATTGTACAATTTTTTTGTTAACTTTAGTTGAATCAACAAGGTCTACCATTTGTAAGTTTGTATATTATAACTTCTGTTAGGAATCATAGTAATGATTCCTAACAGAAAACAGTTTAAACATGTTTGTCAAGGTTTAACTCATATTTTGTTTAATCATCTCTCCTTTTATCACTTGCTATAGTTATCAATTTTGAAAAACAGTAACTTTTATTTTGTGAGAATATATTTTATGTCACACTTTTTTTTTTTTTTGCGGTGTCTTACTTCTTTTTTAACTTTAGAACCATCTTCATCTGGTACAGTTGGTAAGTTTTAAACACCTGTTATGCATTCCTTATCAATGCAATATTTATTTTTTATAACAATCTTTTAACCTTAGTTCCAACTCTAACTGCAACAAGTGTAAAAACTATTACTGTGTAATATGTGTATGCATTTCTCAACAATGGCAATATTTATTTTCTATTAAAACTTTTTAAACTGAGGAACATCCTCATCTGGTACAATGGAACATCCTCATCAATTGCATTATTTGTTTTTTATTAACTTTTTTACCTTAGTTTTTTCATCTTCTGCATCAAGTGGTATGTCTTAATAGTATTACTTTTTTATATGTGTATCCATTTTTTATAATTTGAAATACTAGTTTTTTATTACAACTTTTTATTCTTAGGACTGCCTTTAGATGGTACGATTGGTAAGTTTTAAAACTTTTAATTTCTAATTATGTATCATTTACTATATTTATATACTATATATTTATATTATATACTATAGTATTATATACTATACTATATATAATGTATCATTTGCTATATTTTTCTTTTATTACAACATTTTTACCTTAGTTTTATCGTCGTCTGCATCAAGTGGTATGTCTAAATAATATTACTTGTTAATTTGTTTATAAATTATTCATCATTTGCTACATTAATTTTTTATTACAACTTTTTAACCTTAGGATTGTGTACATCTTCTACAATTGGTAAATTTAAAAAATTTTAACTTCTTAATAATACTTGTGTATGCATTTTTCATTAATTGCAATTTTTCTTATTACAACTTTTTAACCTTAGTTTCATGTTCATCTGCAACAACTGGTATGTCTAAAAACTATTACTTTTTAATTTGTGCGCATTTCTCAGCAATTGAAATATCTTTAGATAACAACTTTTTCTACCTTTAGTTTCACCTGCTCAACCTTCTGCTGGTAAATTTATGTGTTAAAAATGGATCTGAATGGTTATCAAATTTGTTTAATACATTTATATTGTGTTCTCATTTGAGTTCTCATAAAAAGAAAGTATTTAAATTTTTACTCTTATTAAAAATTTGTTTACCTTTAAGTGATTTATTAGTCAATATACCTATAAGTGATTTATTAGTCAATAATTTTATATATTTAGATTTGTATTAAGTGTTACATAATGCCATTTGTTACTAATATAATTATTTATTTTATAGAGCTTACATATGAAGTATACAAAATTTACAGGACCCAGCATCCTGGACCCACCAGCAACAAGTTATATTTGCGTTGGGTCCAGTTTGGGGGCAAAGATGACCCCCTTTTTAGATGGCTCTATTATCACCCAAAAAGGCGTGCTGGTGACAGCAGAGGAGGTACAGGAAATGGCTGCGCCAGAAGAGGTCGACAAAGAGGGAATGGTAACAGCCATTATGTTAACTTCAATACAAACAATTAAAATTATTTTGGCAAAAAGTTTAGATGAAAATAAAAAAATGCCAAAAATAATTTAATTTAAAAATTGTTACAATAAAGAAAACAAATTATTTTTCTTTAAAAATATACAATATTAGTTTTTATATTTTTAAAGAAAAATAATTTGTTTTCTTTATTGTAACAATTTTTAAATTAAATTATTTTTGGCATTTTTTTATTTTCATCTAAACTTTTTGCCAAAATTATTATAAAAAAGAATTTTAAGAATTAATAAGTGTAGTAGTTGCAATAAATATTTTGCATGTTTTTAATGTTGTATGTGATAAAACAAATTTAAAAGTGGTACCCATAGATAATTACCACTTTCAAATGCAAATAAAGTGTCATGAGAATTTTATAGCCTATAATAAATGCAAGTTTTAAAATGAGTACCATTTTAAATGTTAAGTGTTATTAAATGTGTAGGAATCTTTTGCATACTTTTTTAGTTTTCTTATTTTAGTTCATTTAAAATGTTTATTTGACTTTTGTAAAAATTATTTTATTTTTAAATAATTAGGCTTTTATTTACAGTTCCTAAAAAATTGATTTGCATTATTCAGATTTAAATATTAGTTGGACCATAGTTGAACAATTACTTGATTTTATTAGGTATTATTGTTAGTATATTCTTTTAAAAAAATATATTTTTATGTTGTATTATCAATTATTACCAATTTATTATATATTAGTTTTATAATCTCTGTTTAAGAAAGCATTTTAACATTTTTTGTGAAATTGTCATTAGTTTTTTTTTTTGTTTTTTTTTTTTTCATGTTTAGGGCGACAGGGGGATACGCCCATTTAAAAAAAGGCAATTTTTATAACCACTAGTTACTATTTTTCATAGTATGGAAATATTATATTTATTTTTTTATAATTTAATCATTTTAGTAAATATTAGAATATTTAAAAGTATGAAATTTTGATAGGGTGTGTTAAACTTTACCCACAACCTAACACTCAACTTTAAGATAGACCTGTAATACTCGCTAGTGATGTAGAATAAAATAATACCAACATGTTATACATAAATATTATCAATTTCATAAAAAAAAACTCTATTTTATGTAGAAAAAGTGTTTTTTTGTGCGGTGTTGGTGGTGAATTAGCACCCCCTCCGGATCCCTTGATGCGCCATTTACCTAGAAATAATTTTAAAATTAAAGACCATTTTTACACCTATCTTTTGATACCAAGTTATAGATTTTTGAATAAGAATTGTCAAAGTTATAACAATTTATGTAAAAAAATAAATTTTTTTGACCACAGTTTTATCAAGAAATCCATATATCGAAAATTTGCTATTAAAAACGTCACAACTTTTGATAAAATTGTCCAATTTTCTCACCTTTAATTAATAATTTTTTCACCTTTGAAATACTGCATTTGAGGGCTTTCTAATTATATATAACATTTTAGTATTTGAATAATTTTAAAAAATCAGTCCACGTACCTAATATATATATATATATATATATATATATATATATATATATATATATATATATATATATATATATATATATATATATATATATATATATATATATATATATATATATATATATTCTCGAAGAAGATGTCAACATTTAAATTATATATATATATATATATATATATATATATATATATATATATATATATATATATATATATATATATATATATATATATATATATATATATATATATATATATATATATATATATATATATATATATATATATACACACATATATATATATACACACATATATATATATATACATATATATATACACTATAATATATTTATGCATATATTATGTATATTTTACATAATATATTACTTTACTATATAAACCCGCTTACCGAAAGTAGCTAATTTTTAATTAAATTTCCTATGCCAAAAAGGTTTCACATAAAAAAAAGTTTTATAAAAGATTTTTTCAACAAAAAACGGGCCAATCAGAACGTAATAAAGATATCGTAATTACGATTCTGTTAAAAGCCATTTTTGTTAGGTTCTATTGGCAATAATTATTTTTAATTTTCTTAAGCTAATAATGATTTCCTCATTAACAAGGAAAGTTGTTAATAAGCAAATAATAATTTGTTTATTATAAATATAATAAGCAACCTATGATTTGCTTATTAACAACTTATGATGTTTCCCATTAGGAAACGTTGGTGAATTTTACCCTCTTCATCTCTTAAGATTTTTTTTTTTTTAAGGTCATTGATATAAAAGTCATCTTTTCTATGGCTTATTAAAAACGTACAACTGATTGACGTTGTAGCATTTTTAAATTACTGCGTTAAAATTTTACTGCGAGAAAGTCTTCAACCATTCAAACTTCCTTTGCGGTAAAATAATAACGTTAAAATATTACTCAGACAGTAATATTTTAACGTTATAATTATACTGCGCTCGTTATAATTTTACTGTCATCAAATAAAGCGGTTTTCCTTTATTGTGCGACAAAATCTAATCTTAGAATAAATTAAATAGCCTAGCGATCCATAAAATCACTTATGTAGAATTTTATTACAAACAATTTATTTACGTTTTTTTAAGTTGTAAAGAATATGCAATCTTGAGCAAATTATTTATTTTTTTATAACAAACAACCTTGTAAAACAACTGATATACAAACATCATTTTAGTTCAGTTTAAACATCATTTCATTTACAAAGCTTTTAGTGACAAAACAACGTTATAATGATTGTTTTTATTTTCTAAAAGAATACTCTGAGCTGTTAGTTGGGCGAGTTTCATGGATGCTGGATATTTGAGCCATGCTAGTTTTTGTCCAATAAAGGACCATACAGCAATGTCAATTCCAATGAGATTTACAGTACCAAGGATCTCAACATCTGTAGCCCATATACTATCTGTGGCTATACCACTTTTGGTAATGTAGTTTTCCACATCATCGCCTAAATATCCGGACAAAAGACTGGAACAAGGCTTTGATACACTATGTTTAGCAACAACATCGCGAACACGTGTATGTTGGCACTCAGAACCTGTCAGCAAAAACGAAATTGCTCGAAAAAAATAATAGCCATCACCTTTGAAAACATGTATTTTTGAAGGTACATTATTTTCTTCTCCATCAAAAAGATCTGGCATTATAAATATTTTAAGTCCTTGTTCTTCAGCTAATTTATGGAGAACTTCTTTGGTGGGATGTTTCATTAATTTGGAATTACGTTGACTTTTACCCTGATCGTTGCACTCAGAAGTTAAACTATGCAATTTTAAATAACTTTTCTCTTCAACAAATGGTTTAACATGATATAAAGAGTACTTCTTCTTTATTGTGTTGCTCCCTTTAATGTTTCTTAATAAACATGTTGAGTTTGACAAAATATCAAGTATCTCGTATGGACCAAGCCACGAGAAAATCATTTTTCCACCTTTTCTATTTTCTGTTTTTAGATTTCTCAATAGTACTTTTTCGCCCACAAAAAAATTTGATTGTGTTGTACGCTTTCTATCATAGTCAATTTTTTGTTTCTTTTGTGCACAAACAACATTGGTCATGGGTTTTTCTTCAAGTCTTCTTTTCATTTGTAAAGCTTTTTGTAAAACGTCTTTATCATATACAGGATTGTAGTTATTCCCATTGAGTACATTTGTGTACTTTACATCAATTGGAAGATAGAGTTGTCGGTTATACATAAGGTAAAACGGTGAATACTCCATTGAATCGTGCACTTAAACACGTAAAGCAAAAAGAATTCCATCTAAAACTGAGGCCCAACTTTTAACATTTTCATTTAAGACCTTAACAATTGCTTTCTTAATTGTCTGGTTCTGTCTCTCTACAAGGCCATTGGCTTGTGGATGGTAAGCAGAGGTTACACGTTGCTGAACGCCTGTCATAT